GACATGCATAGATACTTCATCAACATCATTGGCCAACAAACATATGAAGAAATGCTCATGATCATTAGCCATTAGACAGATGCAAATCAAAACAATGAGATACCTTCTTTCCCACTTCTAATTGCAAAGTTCATTAAGACAGAAAATAACAAATTCAGGCAAGGACGTGGAGAGATCGGGACTCTCATAAACTGCTGGTGGGACTGTTAAATGATACAACCACTGTGAAAAGCAGTATGGCGATTCCTTAAAAAGTTGGAATTAGAAATACCATTTGATCTACCAATCCCATTACTAGGTACATATCCTGAAGAAGTGAGAGCCAGGACAAGAACAGATATATGCACACGCATGTTCACTGCAGCACTATTTACAATAAAGATGGAGACAACCTAAGTGCCCATCAACAGAAGAATGAATAACCAAACTATGGTTCATACACACAATGGAATATTATGTAACACTAAAGAATAATGTATAATCTGCAAAAACTGCATAATGTGGATCAACTTGGAGGACACTATGCTGAGTGAAAGTAAGTCAATCACAGAACAAATATTGTATTAGTCTGTTATTGTAAAAAGTAAAAGAAAGGTTTATATATGGAAGGAAACTTTCTTTTTTGTTTACCAGGGGTGGTGGAGGAGAGGAAGGAACACTGAAAAAAATAAAATAAAACTGAATGAAGCACTGCACAGTAGTGAGTAATCACCATGATCAGTTTGAGACTGTTGTGATCCATAGGCTTTTCATTGGTTGATTTCTGGAAGTAGATCACCAGGCCTTTCATCCTAGTCCAGCTTAGTCTGGAATTTCTTATGGTAGTTGAGGTTGTGTGTCCACTTGGCTAAACCTGGTTTTGAGTGGCTGGGCAGCTGGTTGTAGTTACTCCCCATGATGAGACTGCCAGTCAGCTTCATGGTGGAATCTGCTGAGCAGCCAAGTAGCTGCTTTAGGGATGTGGTCTGCTTTCCATCTATAAAGAGAAACTTTGGGTTTGGTCTCCAGTTTTTTTTGCACACTTGGACCCTGCATTTAGCCAAGTTTTCATTCAGCAGCCTGCCATGATCTGCCAATCTTGGGACTTTTAATGGACTTGAATCAATGGCCATTTTATTTGCTGTTTTAGGGCTTGCTAGCCTCAGCAGCCAGCAGCTGCCTGAGTGAAGAGATGCCTCTAGCTCCAGTGGGCTGGAAGCAAGATGTAGAGCTGAAGCCCAAGGTCAAGGGGCTTTCACCTAGTACCCAGAGCTTGGCACTTTGAACTCAGACTTCCAGCCTCCAAAACTTTAAGAGAATAAATCCTTGTTTGTTAAAGCCATCATTTATTGTATTTTCTGTGAGAGAAGCACAAAGTAACCAAAACAGCTCTGCCGAAACCTGTTCAACATCGTAGTGACAGACAAGCCTTCACTGAGGGATGATAGGTATGGCTGCGCATTGGCAGGGAATCAATCCCAAGTCTCCTGAGTGGACAATGAGAATCCAACACCTGAATCACCACTACCCATCAAATAATGGCAGTGGGGGCTAAACCCTTGGTTTTCTGTACTTCAGTGTATCAAGTATATGATGTATCCCTTCGGCTTTGTTTTAAGTGGTAGCAAAACTGGCATTGGCCTTTAAAAGAAACAACTTTTAACAAATCTTTTCCTTTTCTCTCTACCTTTATTTTCTGCTATTTGTACTTCCCTTCCAGCCCTAAGATACAAGTAAGCTGCGGATATCACATCTCTGGCAACAAGGGCAAAATATCATTCACAGACAAATGGATTGACATCAAGGCCTGGTCCCATTACTTACCAGCTGTGCGCCTTGGGCAAGTCTCTTAACTTCTCAGTTCCTCTGTTTCCACAGCCACTCCTCGGAAGGAAGGTTGGGCAATCCTACTTCTGTAGTGATACTGCCTCAGAAACCCAAGGAGGGGTCGCTATGAGTCGGGTTTGACTCGAAGGCACATAACAACATGATGAGTAATACCTTTTTCTTGAATTGAAGATTAAATGAGATATCATGGATAAAGAGCCAAGCTGAGTGAGGCCCAGAACTGCTCACTAAGTTCCTGGAACCTTCACAAACTTGACCACAATGCAATGCCAACCTCATTTCTCACTACTGTGGATGTATACATACTTCCTCAAATGTTCTTTAATTCTATAATCTTCCAATTCTATACTCTTTATCCATAACATCCTTCAATTTCTTCAACTTTTGAAGGTAAGTCATTTCTCTCAATATTGAGTTCAGATTTGAGTTCAGATGACACCTCTCTTCTGGACTTCATCCTCAGCTCCCAGATAACCTAGTTGGCTGATTACCCCTCTGTGCTGGAACATACTTTTCTCCTAAGACAATTGCAGGGAGCTCTGGTAGGGTAGTGCCTAAGGCACTTGACTGCTAACCAGAAGGCTGGTGGTTCAGATCCACCAAATACTCTTTGGAAGGAAGATGCGGCAATCTAGTGGCAATCTACTTCCGTACTGATACTGCCTCGGAAACCCAAGGAGGGGTCACTATGAGTCAGGTCTGACTGGACAGCACATAACAACAAGACAACTACAGCTGAACCACAGTTATGTATTAGCCTGTTTTGCTCACTCCCCCAAAATCCAAAGTCACTGCCATCCAGTCAGATCTGACTCATAAAGACCCCTCTTTGGGTTTCTGAGGCCCAATCTTTCTTCCGTGGAGTGGCTGGTGCATTTGAACCACCAGCCTTCTGGTTAGCAGTCAAATGTCTTAGGCACTACGCTATCAGAGCTCCCCTTACTAACTAGACTGTGTGAAACTTAAGATATTTTTTTCAATACACAGCACTTAGCTTGGTGCCTGACACATAATGGGTGATCAAAAGGTTTTTTTTTTTTTTTTTTAATGCTTGTATAGGATAGATGGATGGATGTGCATGCATGGGTTGCTAGATAGAATGGGAAAAAAATGGATGTCATATAAAGGTGGTGATGAGCCAGTAAGAGTTGAGTGGTTGTCCTATGTCCCTTTTCCCAACCCCCACAGTGGTAGGTTAAGTGCTGAGGAAGGACTTCCTCTTTACACAGGTCCCGTGGTGTTTCCCCGCTTTAGGACGCAGCTTCATAGGGCACCGGCAGGGGGCGGCGTTGTTCCGCAGCTGGATGCTTTGCAGGTCCTTAACCTCTCTCGCCCCAGAAGCCGCACTGCTTTCTTTGGGAGGCCATGGCTCCCACAGGTCCAACGTAGGCAGACAGTTGTTCCTGCCAGGCTTGATGGCTGAGCTTGCACTGGGCCTTAGGGGAAGGAGTATTCAGCTTCCCTTTGGTTTTCCTTCTGACCTCCACCTCAGCCTCCCACAGTCTCTTTCTCAAAGAAAAGCTACTCTCGTTTAATTGGGAGTCAGCGAGCCACCGAGAGAAAGGAGAGGAGGAAACGTTCTAGCAAAAAAAAAAAAAAAAAAAAGGTGAGGTGGTGCGAGCGCGAGTGAGCGGAGAATAACTATAATGTTCCTTTAGCTGGGCATGGGTGGGACCTAGGTCTAATGAAGCGACCCAAGCTGGAGAAGAGACACTCTAGCTATTCTGCGAACTGAGACTTTTTCCTCTTTTTTCTTGAGTGGAAAACCAAATGATTTCACTGTGATTTTCTTCATTCACGTGAAATAGGAAAACTTTAGCGGGCTACGACAAAAGCGCCTTGACTGCTTTGCGTCTCCGTCAGACAACGCCACGGGAGTGCGCCAAGTCCCGCACTGGGGCCCCTTCCCAAACTCCGCGCGTCTGCGCTAGCAAAGATCCGCGCCCCTTGCCGTGTTTGGGCCCGCCCCATCTTCGGGGATTGGCCGGTGCCCTGCCCGGTCCTCCGGCTCTCTGGGGCGTCCTCTGGTGACGCGCACTTGCCCGCGCCGCGCTCCCGGACGCCTGAAGCTGCCTGTGCGCAGAACCTTGGTGCCGCCCCCTCGCCTTCTAGGGCTGCTTCAGCGCTCGTCATAGGCTTGAGGCTTCGAGAATCGAAACTTAATTACGGGAGAGCTGTCCTCTCACACGCACGACAACTGACGTGTTTGGGCAAGTGGACTCATTAGTCCACGCGGAATACGGATTTATGAATAGATTGAATTATCTAGTTCTATGCACATATACTGCTAAACAGGTTGTGAGAAATCTCAGGAGACCCGTTATAAAGATAAAATGACGCACTCTCTCCGGCAAGAATTTAATTTTTCTGAAGTTTTTGCAGTTCTGCGATTTTAGTCATTCAGTTTTCATGGCCACTGCAAACCCAACAGCTGCTCCGCGGAAGGAAGATGGGGCTATCTACTTCCCTAAAGATGTAAGATCCTCTGAAACTCAATGAGGGTCGCTACCAGTCGGGATCAACTGATGGCAATGGGCTTGGTTTTTTTCTTTTCAGACTTTTAAGGTATTTTAAGTGCACCTCCTTATTGGGGAAAAAAGGGCGGGGAAGAGGGGAGGGACGGACTATGAATTAAATATATACATATAAAATACATACACACACAGGTGTTTATATACATACATAAAACCTCGGATCTCTAATTCTAGGCAGCCAGGGTAGCTGCGCAGCGCACGCCCGGGCTTGGTACACGGCGCACCCAGCCCGCAAACTGGCGGACGGGGGCGGCGCCCTATGCAGATGAGGAGGGTGTGGCGAGCGCGCGGCACGGGGGCCCCGGAAGCGCGGAGAAGCCCGGTATAAAAAAAGTAGTGAAGACATTTTCCTGACACAACTGCTAAAGCTCCAGAGGCAGGAGTGTGCGGCGGCGGCAATAGTGGGAGCCGCCACCTCCGAGGCCACCGCAACTGGGGCGGCAGCGACGCGGGCGGGGGTAAGGGGCGGGAGTGGCCAGCGCAGGCAGCGGAGATCTGGGAAGGACGAAGTCGCTCGAGGTTGTCGCGAGCGCACTCCTCGCTACTGAAGTGCCGTCTTGCAGTTCTTCCGCTCTGCTCTCCTAGAAGGGGCGGCTGCCTCCAGGTGACACAGAAGGGATTCCCGCTTACGCTTTCCAGATGCATCAGAGATACTTTTGGTGCGGGGCTGTTCTGCGGGGCGCGGCGTGCGGGGTTGGAGGTGGGGGGGGCCTGGGGAGGGAGAATCTCAGAGGAGTTCCCGGGTCAGGGGGTGAGCTGCAGAAGGGGCGCGCTCTTCCTTCTGCTCGCTCCTGCCCTCCGCCGCGTCGCGTCCTTACCCCGCTCTTCCCCCTTACTTTTAGGACTGAGCAGGGCCAAGTGGCGCTCGGCGAGCACTTCATGGCAGAGGGCGAAGGGTACTTTGCCATGGCTGAGGACGAGCTGGCCAGCGGCCCCTACATCCCCCTGGGAAGCGACTTTAGCGGCGGCGACTTTGGCGGCGACGGAAGCAGCTTCGACGGGCACTGCTTGGATTATTGCGAAAGCGCCACGGCACACTGCAACGTGCTGAACTGGGAGCAAGTGCAACGACTGGATGGCATCCTGAGTGAGACCATCCCGATCCACGGGCGCGGCAACTTCCCTACGCTCGAGCTGCAGCCCAGCCTGATAGTGAAGGTGGTGAGGCGGCGCCTGGCGGAGAAGCGCATCGGCGTCCGCGACGTGCGCCTCAACGGCTCGGCCGCCAGCCACGTTCTGCACCAGGACAGCGGCCTGGGCTACAAGGACCTGGACCTCATCTTCTGCGCAGACCTGCGCGGGGAAGAGGAGTTTCAGACTGTGAAGGACGTAGTGTTGGACTGCTTGTTGGATTTCTTACCCGAAGGGGTGAACAAAGAGAAGATCACACCACTTACTCTCAAGGTAAAGCGGAGCCGCGCGGGGTTTGAGCCCTGAGCGAGACGGGGCCGGCCCCCGTGCGGTGGGTAGAGGTGGGGGAGGGGGACTTCCGTTTGATGTTAAGAATCTGCGGCTGTGCTGGGTCTGGGCGCGCTTATTTATTTATTTTATATTTTTACGGGTAAATTAAGATGTGTGAACGTTGTTTAATGTTCTAGTTTACTTGGTGCTTCTGCGCCTCAACTCATATCCTCCCGCTTCCTCTTCTGTCCTCCCTTCTCTTCCTTATTTTTAAACTCTTGCCTTTCCTTGTTTGAGTCTGATACACGCAGGAACGAAATGATGTAAATAGTTCTTGTGAGTAATTTTACGATCTAGTCTTTGGGAAAACAGAAGCCTGAAGCACAACAGAATCCTTGAGCTTATTATTATATTGGAAAATATGAACAGATTCTATAGCGGCGTTCAGCTGACTTCCTGTGTTAAGGCTATGGATGAAGGTTTTCTCTGGTTGGTTCTGTATTAATGCTATCGTTCCCCCCTCCCGTACCCTTTCCTTTTCTCCTTCCCGTGCCTCTTCTCCATCTTACCCCACCCCACCCCACCCCGCATTGCTTTATGATTTTTTTTTATAATTATTTAAAATTGTTTGGGGAGTCAACCTTCCACAGTGTTACAATTTAGTTCTTGTTTGCTTGTAACTGCAGACAGTGATCCCAGAAGGACACAGTGGTTGCCTTAGGGGGAGGGGAAAAGGTGAGAGGCCATCTAACTTTTCACCATATGCCCTTCTGTGTCTTGAATAGTGTGTGGACAGTGCGTGAATATTGTACCCGTTAGACCATTGTCAAGAAATAACTTTAAAAAAAATCAGACATGACTAGTACTATGCTGTGTCTGCCAAAAGCCTCAAACTATTACTTCTTGTGTCTTTCCCAGACAGTAAAACTACTCGTTAACTGTATTTTTTTTTCCTGTTTTAAGAAAACTATTTAAACCTGTAGGTAGTATTTTGCTAAAAAGGGACAAAACAAAGGGGAAACACAAATAATTCTCAACTGCGTAGAAAATGAATGCATTTTTTAGTTACGCTCATCATCTTGTTTTGTCTTTTAAATTGTAGGAAGCTTATGTGCAGAAAATGGTTAAAGTATGCAATGACTCTGACCGATGGAGTCTTATCTCCCTGTCAAACAACAGTGGCAAAAATGTGGAACTGAAATTTGTGGATTCTCTCCGGAGGCAGTTTGAATTCAGTGTAGATTCTTTTCAAATCAAATTAGACTCTCTCCTCCTCTTTTATGAATGTTCAGAGAACCCAATGACTGAAACATTTCACCCCACTATAATTGGTGAGAGTGTCTACGGCGATTTTCATGAAGCTTTTGATCACCTTTGTAACAAGATCATTGCCACCAGAAACCCAGAGGAAATCAGAGGGGGAGGACTGCTTAAGTACTGCAACCTCTTAGTGAGGGGCTTTAGGCCTGCCTCCGATGAGATCAAGACCCTTCAGAGGTATATGTGTTCCAGGTTTTTCATCGACTTCTCAGATATTGGAGAGCAGCAGAGAAAACTGGAGTCCTATTTGCAGAACCATTTCGTGGGATTGGAAGACCGCAAGTATGACTATCTCATGACCCTTCATGGAGTGGTGAATGAGAGTACAGTGTGCCTAATGGGACACGAAAGAAGACAGACTTTAAACCTTATTACGATGCTGGCTATCCGGGTGCTAGCTGACCAAAATGTCATCCCTAATGTGGCCAATGTCACTTGCTATTACCAGCCAGCCCCCTATGTAGCAGATGCCAACTTCAGCAATTACTACATCGCACAGGTTCAGCCAGTATTCACGTGCCAGCAACAGACATACTCCACTTGGCTACCCTGTAATTAAAGATCATTTAAAAATGACCGGTGGGGAAGCCATTTCAGACAAGATAGGTGAGAAAGAGATAAAGGAAAAAAAAAAAAAAGAGTGACCCAGCTCTGATTAGGGGTATATTTTGTGCAATGATGTTCTGCTCCTGATTTTAAGCTTGGCAAAGATTGTGAATTTTTTAATAGATATGGGAGCATAATCTAGAAGTAACTCCCCACCCCCAGTCCTCCCACTTCATCCTCTTAGCCAATTGGATTCTATCTTGGAATACAAGAGACCTGTCATTAAAAGCAAGCAGGTTCTCCTAAAATAACAAGGGAAAAATGCTAGATGACAATATGGGTTTGCAGTCAGTACCTGCTACCATAGCTTTGCCATAGGGGGGAAAGAATGGGAAGGTCCTTTTAAGATACAATTCACAAAAGGGAAAATACAGAAAAAGGGTCTCACCTTAAGTAATTTTATCAATTCAGGAGTTTAGATGGTAACAGAAAGGAGAACTTCAATGTTGAGATCTCTATCTGGGGCTTGTAGCAAGTTCTTTCTGTGGGGTGATCTTATTTTGCTAACAGAAACGGCTTGCCCCAAATAAGCAGTAGTATTAGGTTGGTGCAGTTTTCATAACAAACAGCAGAACTTATGATGACACAGTCCATTATTTCCAGCTGCGTGCATAGCTTGCATTTTTAAAATGTGAAAATGCAAGCAAAAACAGCTGTAGCAAAGAAAGTATGCTCAAGGACCAAAGATTTAACAGATAAAAATACCCAAGTAGAAGGGAGATAATAGACTATATAAAGAGTTACTATATTTGTTACACACCAATATTCATCAAAGTGCCTGTTGCCTTCTTAAAATTTGAAGTGGAAAAATTATTTTACAGTTTAATGATTATTTTATCAGGGACTCAAGAAGAAAAAACACATAAGCTTGTGAATGGTGGAGGAAATGCCCTATTTTTTTTCTTGGCAAATAATTGTATAAAGTTAACATTGCTGGTTTGATGTTGTCATAGGTACATGTGTATCTGTGTGTATATTAGGTGTGTATATATACACATATTTAGGATATGTGTATTTATACACACAATAAATTTGAGTATGGCCTAGACTAATGTAGCAAATAGGAAATGTTTAAATACTGTGTGCTTTTATGTTTTCAACAGGATGACATGAGATGTGGGGATATTGCAGTGATGAATTAAAACCTACATCTAAAAATTAAAGCAAATAAAGGAGAAAAACAAGTAATATATTTGATAGGAAGAAGAGAGACTATACATTTTTAGTAAGGTTCTCCTCCCTCTTATTTTTTTGGTGAGCCATAGAATTCCACAAATGGGAGAATATTTGCTTGGCAGAGAACTTTTTTTTTTCCCATTAAATACTGAAGTGTCATTTTGACTGGAACCTTTTTTTTTTTTTTAATTTTAATACTTGTGTACTTCCATGGTATATAATCCAGTGGATCATGGATCAATGATAGGCTATTTAAATCCCTGACTGCTAAATTTTTTTTTTTTCCAGGTGATCTGAACACTACTTATTGTTATTTAAATGAATTTTTAAATGAATGCATTCTGCATTCTAGGACCACTAGAGTTTTTTTTAAAAATGTGAAGTGAACCTTTTTAAAGAGTATTTGCACAATTGCTTGAAATTTATATATGAAATATATATTATATATAAAATTTTATAAATCCATGCCATGATGAAACATCTTTGATCTGGTTATCACACTGCATTCAAATATTTAGTTGTTGTTGTTGTTGTTATGTGCCATTGAGTAGTCTCCAACTCATAGCGACCCCCAGTTGGGTTTCTGAGGCAGTATCACTACAGAAGTAGATTGCCTACTGTACTTTAAAGTAAATCACTTTACTTTAAATCCAATTTTTTTTTCATGAGACCAGTTAGAACTTTGTGAAATGAACCGGCATTATGATTTTAATTCAGTGACAGCTAATCCTAAAACCACCCCTTCTCCTGGCCCTTGATTCCTTTAGACACTGTTCTGTGAAAATTCATTTTTAAAAACAAAATTAACCTTTCCTTTGTGTGGTGAAACAACCACATAATCCCCCTAATCCTCGTGAGTGATTGTTTACTTTGATAATCTCTCAGAAAACCCAACCATAATATTTTTGTCAACAGTTAAAGAAGGACTGAGGAAGAAAATAGAATCATCCTATTGGCAATGTAATATTTTTGTTCATTCGTTTGTTACCCAGGCATCATTTAGATGCACAATTCTAGATTAGTCTATCTGGTCTACCTTTGTGAGTGTATCTTTGAAGTTTTAATGGTAACCTGATGGGTTTGCCTTTGTAGATTCCCTGTGAATTCCATTGGAGTTGTAACAGCTACTGCACTGCCATTCACTATTTTCTAGGGAACTCTTCATACTCCCATGTTGGCTCAATCTCCCTCACTCCAGCCCTGGGTTTGAAATGTTTCTTGTTAACTCCCAGGAAGGGTTATTTGCAAACTGTCTGACACTACCTGTCAGAAACCAGAGCTCTGCCTCCTTGACTATTAGGAGGTTTTCTAACAGAAAACTAAGGGAAGGCCCAGGCACACAGGTGCAGCTGGTGGTCTGGTTTCTTCCTTTGCCTTGCAACTCTTCACAACTGAGTTGTCCACTATTTTAAAAGTGTCTGGAGGTCTCTAGCTCTGACATAGCAACAACCTGCTGTTAATTTATAACACATATTTTTGTTTGGAGGAGCCTTATTTTAAAATAATATGTTCCATTTATTGTCTCAAATATTTATGTTCTTTTCTTGCTTATTGCAGGGTTGGTAGTATAGTTCTAAGTGCCAGCACCTGGCAATCAGATGGAACAGGCTGTGCTCAAGACAACTTTCAGCATTTACTTTAAGATCTATATAATTTATTTCTCTTTTGTATGTACACTAGTCTTGTGCGTATGTAGTTGAACAAACAGTGGAATATATGTCTCTTTTTGTGGGTGTATGGCTTGAAAATTTGAATGTGGTGAGAGAGCCATGTGTATAGGTCAGAGGAAAGAATAGCTCTCAACTCCCAATTAGTGCCTGTGATTTGCTTGCTTTTGTGTTTTTCTGGCCTAGTGTGCTGTTACTAAGGAGACCTGGTGGCGCAGTAATTAAAGTGCTCAGCCGCCAACCAGAAGGTCAGCTGTTGGAACTCACTAGCCACTCTATGGGAGAAAGACAGGGCAGTCTGCTTCTGTGAAGATCTACAGCCTTGGAAACACTATGGGACAGCTCTACTCTGTCCTATAGGGTTGCTACAGGTCAGAATTGACTCAACGGCAGTGGGTTTGGTTGGGTTTGGTGCTGTTACTTTATAACAAGAAGAGGTTTTATCTTCTGGAGGCTCTTGTCCTCACTTGTCCAGTCTGGCATGTCAGAGAACACTTCACCTGTGACAATGTGTTATTGAAAAGTTTACTTAATTTGCAGTAAATCCAGCTGCCTCAAGAATTCTACACCAAGATGGGCTTTTCCCTTCTAGAAATGGGATGAAGTATCTGCTCACTTTGGTAATGGGTAGATTATTTCATTGTGGCTCCAAAAAATGCAAGGACTGAAGACCATCTGTAATCCCAGCCAAGAAGGAAATGAAATGAAAAGAGAACATACTGTGTTACCACTCCTTTCTGTTTGCTTATCGTTGGTTGCTTTACTGTACGTAAAGTTTTCAATGCAATGCTTGTTATATGAATATTGTGAACTGTTTTGTAAATGAAATGTATTATGTTGAAAGCTGTCAGCAGTTCAAAAATAAGCTTTTTTTTTGTTTTACTGTTAAAGATGAAGTGTTAGATGAAACCAAAAGCAAAAAAAAAAAAAAATCATATATAGCACCTATTTGAATATAATCTTTCCTTAAGGTTTCTTTTAGCATAGACTTCTCAGTGCTAAGAAAGAATCTCTAATATTTTGTTGTAATAATGGCTTGCTAACAAAGTAAATGGTTAAAATGCAAAGTCTGAAGATGTCAAGGTAACTTGGCAAGACTTGCTGCAAAGCCCTGAAGAATGGAGGAAGCTCTGCCCACTGGCTGTCTCTCCCTCCAGCCTCTCCACAACCATTGCCTGCTTTGAGGCATCCTATTGCAGCAAGCTGTACCCGGGTCACTCTTGGAATATTTTGACTATAAACTGTGTCACAGGCAGAAAAGGAGTTGATGGAAAAGAGACTTTTAAAAACTGACATGTTTGAATCAGTGCTAGAGGGAACAGATTGTGAATTTTGTTTACAGCATCCAATATTTGGATTTTTTTTTTTTTTTTTTTTGTAAATAAAAAGAAGTTATTTTTTTCTACTGATTTGTGACTGCTGTCTTTGGTGTCTGCATGGGCTAAGGAACTCATCCTCTGAAGTCCATAAGAAAAGAGAGGCAACACTTGAAGAAAACTATCCTTTAGCAACTGGATAGTTAGAAGCACAATAAATTAAAACATCCAGCTCTCAGCCAGCCCATCTCTGACTGGATCAGTTAGCTCCAAAAGAATCCAGCTGATGGGTGCCAAAAAAATCTTGTCAGGGTCTTGACTAAGGAGTATTAAACCAAAAACCAAACAAAATTCACAGTCATCAAGTTGTTTCTGACTCACAGTGACTCCCGTTGGGTTTCCAAGGTTGTAAATCCCTGTGAAAGCAGATTGCCCCAACTTTATTCTGTGGCGAAGCTGATGGGTTAGAAATCAGATGTTTTCCATTATCAGTAGAGACTTAGGGTTTTGGACTCAGGACTCCTTAGCTCTAACTAGGCTTTTATTTACATGAGTAGCCCAAATGATACGATTTGAGTCATTAGTGGTTAGATACATTATTTCTTTGAAGATCTATAGTATTTTCAGAGTGCTTAAGTTGGAGTAAAGTATTAGAAGCCAGGAATGGGAAGGTAAATAGAAGGAAGAGCAGTCATAGGATAATGTGTTTTTCCTGTGTGTGAGCTGGGTGCAAAGAAACTACCTTTTCAAGAGCATTTAATGTAATCTCATCTATTTAAACTTCCAGGAGGCAT